AGGATACCTTGGACCCAGCCGGCGGCACAGGGAGGCACAGATGCAGGAGGAGGGCACCCGTGCTCTGCTGTGCATTGCCACCATCGCAGCCCCCGCCACCAGGCCCTGCTGCTTTGCCAGGGCCACCAAATCCCCCCTTGCCCAAAGCACAGGACAGCCAGGAGACAGTTCTCCAAAAGGGGAGAACTACGGAGAAGCAGCGGCCAAAAATGAAGTGTGTCCCCTTGCAGGAGTGGCCTGACCCTGGCAGAGCACCAGACACTGAGGTGCTCTCCTGACGCAGGCTGCATGCTTGCAAGGGAAAGGGGACGCATAGCAGGGCACGCGCTGACCCCACAGGTCTGGCCCCCTCCCTGCTCCAGTTTCACAATTGCTTGAAATCAACTTAAAAATCCACTCGTGAAAAGGGCAGTTCCTCCCTTCTCCCATTCCCAGCCTGCGAGGAGCTCAGCCACGGCTCAGACCCAGGCAGGGTCCACCCAAGCCAGCTCAGGCTCGGACTGCCAGTGCTCAGCACGAAGCTGTGGACCTCTCCTCCTGCTCCGCTGCTCGCAAGCCAGCTCCGTCCCCTGCAAGTTGAGGATGGTGGCAATCAAAGCCACGCCAAAGCTCTCCCTGCCTGGGGCTGCTTTGGGGCTCTGAGGCAGGAATTAGCCCAGGCTCCTTGGGGACAGGATCATGTTTGTACCAGATGTGTCCCTGCTCCAGAGGAATGTGATTAAGGCCGCCTGGAGAGGCTTTCACAGGGTCACACCAAGCACTGCGGCACCTGCTCCTCTGGAGAGCGGGAGCGTGAGGGGGAGCCCTCCTTGCAAGGGGGGACTATGCAGGGTGGGGGGTGTTTATCTGTCCTGAGCACCCCACTGGCTCCCATCTCACCTCAGCCACCACCAGCAGCGAGCCCGTCTCACTGCAACACAGAGCGCTGCCTTTGCACACTACAGAGCCCAGGCCAAGGGTGGCTGCACCCCTGCTTGGTCTGACCGCAGTGGGAAAAGCTTTTTATCCCATCCAGGTGCAGGAACGCCCTCCAGGGCTGCCCTTTCTCTGTAGGTCAGGAAAACAGGATGTCTTCTTCATTTTCAGCCTGAGCACAAGAGCAGAGAGCTGGACCAGATGGGCCCAGAGGGTGGATGCTGGGAACATCCACCCCACTGTCACTGTGTGCCACCCCTCGGCCTCTGAAGCATCCTCTGGAGCTGGGTCACTGGGGCCAGCGCTAGCTGTGACTTTCTACCAGCCCCATCTGCACTAGGCCATGCTGGATGGACCAAACTCACAATCAGGTATCTCCAGCTTTCTCTGCAGAGAGGGGTCCTGGTCTTGTTCCCCCAGCCCAACCCTTCCCTCCCTTCCCTTGCCACATCCCTGGCCACAAGTCCAGTTCCTGGCAGTGACAAGCAGATCTTCTCTGCCACTGCTCCCTTCGTGCTGCTGCAGGTTTGCTTGGGGCCCAAACATATCCGTGTGCGGCTTTTACACCTCGGTCATGAGAAATGCAGTCCCGGCGGCAAGATCGCTGAGTAAGAGAGCTGAGCTGCACAAGGCTATAATTACAGTAGGAACATGTGGGGATGAGGCCAGCCAAGCGCATCCACCTAATTTCCTCTCCTATTAAGCCTGCCCTGCTTTTGTTTGACCCAGACCAAGCCTTGCTATTAATGGCGTGATGCTGTGGAGGTCAGGGATGGCTCTGTTACAAACAGCCTTGCGGATTCTGCTCAACTGAGTGTATAAGCAGGGCTTTGCTCACAGATACCATTACTGCAGGATTCATGCTGTAGAAAGTGTGTCAGCCAGCTGTGGTGCAGCCATTTCCCAGACTGGGCTGTTTTACCAGGCACGGGTAGCTCTCCGTCTTTGTCTCCGGCTGCACAATAAACCCAGGCAAGCAAGCGAGGAGGTTAAATGGTGTCATATCATTACTCCTGGCCGTGGCCAAGGTCTGCTGACGGGTGCTGGTAGCTGAAGCCCAGGACGTTTCCTCTTCCTGATCTCGCCTGTGCAGCTTCAGCCTGCAAAATCATTTCTGTGCTAAAGGGAGAGCTCTTCTCCTTGCTGTGCACCTGCAGCCAAACCAATGCCAATCCCTGCCCTGTTTTGGTGCACGTGTCCCTTATAAGTCCCCAGGAGGCAACCTGCAATGCTGGGCTACTGGGTTAGCAAACCCAGGGAGCAGGCGAGGCTCTGCAAACACCTCCTGTCTGCCAGAGCGCCCGGTTTTGAGGTCTGTTTCAGACCTGAAAAGTGAGTGCAGCCCCAGTTCAGAGCACCAGGAACTGGCCCCAGCATCTGGCCATCTGTCCTTGCTGAGGACAAGAGCCTGTCACAGCAGGAGCTGGCTGCTCCCCAGCCTTTTCTACTCCCAGTGACGTTGCTGTACCCTGTGTACTGGAGGGGGGAACATCCTCCAGGGACACTGGGCTGATAGATGAAGGCAATCATCCAGCTGGGTTCCTGCAGCAGAGACCACAAGGTCCCCCCTCTCGGCAGAAGGCACAAGAGGAGGATTACCCTTCCGTCCTGCTCAGCGGCAAGGTCACATCTGGCAGCCCGTGGCCCAGGATGTCACAAAACAACGTGGCAGGAGTGGTGGGGGATGCTGTGCAGCACTGGTGCTTAACACTTCTTGCTCCGGCTCCTGTATGGCCCCCTCTGAGCGAGGCAGGACACCCACGGGTGCCAGCCCACCTCCCTACTGCTCCCTGCGGGGAAGAAGCTTCGGCAGCCACGTTTCAGAGCTCAGGCTGAGCCTTCCCCGTCCTGACCTTACAGCAGCGTGGCCCTTCTCTGCAGGGGAGCTCATGTGAGCCATCTCTGCACAGCAAGACACAGCAGCTTGTGGTAGGTGCACCCCTGCCAAAAGAGTGCACCCGGACAGAGGAACCTTGCGCAGGCACAGGAGAAGTGTCCCAGCGCTGTCCTCACTGAATCGCTCCCAGCTGGGTGCCCCTGGCTCCCTCCCCACAGGGTCCTGGCACCAGGCAGGAGGGCTGGGCACAGCCCCGGCCAGCTCACTGAGCAGGCAGGACTTGCTCGCTGAGCAGGTTGAAACAACGTGGTCAAGGGTCCCGCTCCCATGGGCAGCCAAGTGGAGGTGGAAGGGGAACTGTTGGGGTCAGACCGCTGTTCCAGGGATGCTGTCCCTGTCAGAGGTTTCTAACAGAGGATTTGCTCCCATTTCCCGTTCTGACTCTCTCTCGAGACAATTTACTTCTCCTAAGAGTCCCTTTGGGGAGCAGCCCCAGCACAGGCACCTCAGAGAGCTGGAGCACTGAAGAGCCCTGCAAGGACGATACTCTGGGAGGGACAGGTCAGGGGCACAAGGCAGGAGGCAGGCAGCAAACTGCCCAAATTAAGGAGCCTCTCTCTTGCCAAGGCCAGACAAGACTTTGGGACAAATTCAGGGCCGTGCCCAGGAGTACTCACTTGTATCGAAGAAACGTGCTAACCAAGCCCGTGCCCAGGATTCAGATATCCTTGTGAGAGAAGTGTCCTTTGCAAGGAGACCTGTGCGAGGGAGAGGGACTGGAGGGAGCTGCATCTCTGCCCTGTAGCTCCATGGCAATGCCCGTGGGGCTGGCAACCGGCTCCAGGAAAAGCTGGCTCCGGCTCGAGGGACACGTCTGAACCTGCCGTTCCCATGGGGAGGAAGGTTTGTGTCCGTGCCCGAGGAGGGCAGGTTCCTCCCCTGGCAGGCAGCAGGGCCCAGATCAGCCCTTTCTCCTCTCCCCGGTGCCTCTCCTGGGGCTGGTGAGTCCCTTCTTTCCAGTGACACAGAGGGGAGGTGGATGGAGGGCAGAAGCGGGCAGAGAGCGTGGGGCTGGAGCCACGGCAGGGATGTGCGGGGTCACCAGTGCTCGGCAGTACTTGCTGGCAGTCCTCAGCATCTGCAACAGCAAGCCGGACCCTGGCGCCCGTGAGCTGGGGCTGCTCTTTAGCTGGTCTCTGGGGCTTCACGTGCGGGCATCGTCCCACTCAGCATCAGCTCTGCTCTCCCCAAATCGGTGCAACTCGCATTTAAACAAACCCACTTGCAGACGCTTGTTGGGGAAGGTGAATGCAACCAAAGCTGCTCTCGCCCCTGCCAGCCCGCAGTGTGAGGAACATGCCGTGCTGCCACCTCCTGCCATTTTTACCTGCCCCCCCCCCCAAGGGGCAGGCCTCACAAACCCCTCCTCACAGGGAAGAGGAAAAAGGATTTTTTAATTTATTTTAATGAAGTTTGAGTGCCTGAAAAGCAGACACCAAAGCCCAGGCAAGGACTTCCAGATATACAGGAAAAAGGGGAAAATTTGCCGGTGGCGCTGGTTCCCAGTTTTGTTGTGGGGATGGTCTTAGCCAGCAATTTCCGTAACTTCCCAGCCATACAGCCATGTGGATGGTTGCCAGTGGTATCTCACAACAGAGATGTGCCAGCCCCTCCTGGCTGCAGAGAACAAAAATAGCTGGAGAAGATAGCTTGAGTGTACTTGAACCCGGGTGGCAGAAACAGAAACCCAAATAGTTTGCCTAAACACACAATGGTTTAAAATAATGCAGTTGATAGTTTAACAGACCTCCTATTTTTAGTTCTCCAGACAGGCAAGGGTGGCTGCTTACTTTTGTAAAGCTAAACCTCTTCTCTACCAGCAAAGAGGTGGGAGAAACTGCTGGTCGGAGCGCAGTCCTGGTCTGGCACGACCGAGACCCATTTCAGGGAGCGGGAGGACACTCACCCCATCCCAAAGCATCCCCCGGGCAGCTGGAGGGCTGGGACCACCCAGAGTTTTCTCCCCCCACCCACAGCAGCATCCCCTGGGGCTGCAGGCAGCCTCTTCGCTCCTCTCCCAGCACTGGACTGGCATTTTGTGGTGCAGCATGCCCCTAGTGTGGCAGTACCCAGCGGCCCCTCTCTCCTCTGGTCCCACAAAAGTGGGGATACCCCACTGACCTCACCCCTTGCAGCTCCCTCACTCCTCCCACCCCAGCCCATCCCTGTTGCCCTCCTCCCCACCCACCCGTTGTCTCCTCTCCAGCAGAGCAGCCAGGACCGACTCATCCAAACTGGCCAGATGTCCCATCCTTTGAAGCAGCATGCCAGCCTTTGGTAGCACCGTCTGCTGGATGAGCCTACGCGCGTGACCCAAACCAGAGCCCCCGCAGTAATCCTGCCTGCACGGGCCCGTGCATCGCATCCTGGTGCAGTGTGTTTTCCAGCGCATCCAGGGCCCAGGATCGTGTGGGTGAGCTGCGATCCTGGCTGCCTCCTCTCCATCACCGTGGCTGCTCATGGAGGCCCTCTACTCTGCCCTCGAAGGGGAGATCAGCGCCTTCGTGAGGCACGTGCAGCAGTGCCGGCAGGGCTTCGACCTGCGCAGCCTCTACCATGTGCTGCTGCTGGTGCTGCCGCAGAGCCCCTCGGGGGAGGTGGAGAGCTGGCAGCACCTGCAGAGGCTTGCCCAGCACTGGCCTGGCTCAGACAGCCACGATGTGGCCAGCTACGTGGGCTGGCTGGCCTCCTACCTGCAGCACCTGAGCGTGCTGAAGGAGAGGTTCGACACCAGGGTGGTGGTCCCACTCTGCGAGAACTTGTATATGCACGAGGAGCCGGCTGCCCACCTCACCCGGCGGTCCCTCCCGACATCCATCCCACGCCTGGCTGCACAGCTTTTCACCCACCGGCGTAACTGGGGGCTGCTGCTGCAGGGTGGGCCCCTCAGCGAGCGGGTCTTCAGCCCCCGGAGCCTGCGTGACCTGCGTGGCTTTGCCGATGTGGGGCCCTTTGTGAAGGTCTTGCGTCTGGTCCCTGATGTCTTTCACCAGAGCTTGGCCACAGCAGATCTCGCCCAGCAATGGGTCCGTCTCCACCGCAGCAGGTACAGCCTCTCCCTGCCACCATCACCATCAATGCCACAGCAGCCACCAGTGTGGGGCAGAGCAGGGCTGGCTCCCAACACTCTGCAGCCCCCACCACATGGCAGGACCCTGCAGCAGCCCGGCTCTCACCTGGGCTTGCCTGACCTCTTGGTCCCGCTGCAGCCCTTGGGCGCAGGCAGCAGCGTTGGGGTGCTGCGAGCCCGGCTGCGGGAGAGCCGGGAGGAGCTGCTGGCCCTGCTGCACCGTGGGGAGCGGGCGGCCGCCCTGCGCACCCAGGTCCGTCACGTCGCCCGGCGCATCCGCATCCTGCGCCTGCAGCAGTGGGGCGAGGGGACGGAACTGGCTGGGTCCCAGCAGAGCCCAGGTACGGGTGCGGGAGGTCACTGGCGCCAGGCTGCCCTGGCCGAGGAGCTGCAGAAGAGCCTGGAGCTGGAGGAGTACCACCACAGCATCCTGAAGGCCGACTGGCTGTTGGAGCTGGAGGTCAGACCCATCCTCATCCGGAGGATCGATGCGGTAAGGGGAGCACGCTGGCTCTGCTTGCGCTCCCTGCCCTGCGTCCCAGGGTGAGAGTGGGGGCACTGCTGTGGGCAGGGGAGCTGCATGGAAAGGGTTGGACATCCACGTGGGACTGGGTAGAGCCATAACCTCTCCAGTCCAAACTGATGGCCCGCTGGGCAGCCCTGGGCATTCAGGTGTGAGGAAGGAGAGCTGTGGAGTGGAGAATGGGAGAGGGAGTGTTTCCTAATGTGGCGGAGCAGCCTGCGGGAAACATTCGTGGATACTTCCATCCAGCCCACCTGGATGCTCAGGAGCCGGCCACCCACGTCGCCTCCTCTCCCACAGGTTCAGCAGCGCTGCCAGGACCTGGAGAGGATGCTGCAAGGCCAGGCACTGCCCACCCCACAACAGGCCCACCTCAGAAGCGAGACAGCCACCACCCCCACGCCTGGGCAGGCTTAGCCCTCTGCCACATGCCCCATGGCAGCAGCCAGCGACCCTGACCACAGGAGGTAGGACCACCACCTACTCCCAGCAGCAGCACCCAGGAGAGCATGACTGGAGGACATCGAACCCATCACCATGCGGGCTGTGGGCAGCCAGCAGCGCAGGGGGACCTGGCTTGGGTCCTGCCTGTGAAGAAAGCATGGAGGGAACATGTGTTTAATGAGATGTTTCCTCCGTGCTCAGCACATGGCCCTGCTGTTTGGCATATGGCTACAGGCTGGGTAAAGAGATGGGCACCACGTGCTGCTGAGCACGCAGGCACACTCATGCGCACGTGTATGGATGCAAGCAGGCATGAGTACGTGTTTCTGGTTAAATATGGGGCTCGGCCTCCTGTTTTCAGCAGCCAGCATGGGGGCTCCAGCTGGGCCCACAGTAACCAGCCTGCTTGGTGATGGTGGTGGAGAGCCCACCTCTGTGCTGGTAGTAGGTGACACGGTGACAGTCCCCAGTCCAGCCGGGGCTTGCTCCCTCACTGGCTGCTGCTGTGAGCAAGAAACAGTTTTGTGCTGGGGAACTTAAATTAATCTAATTTATTGCCAATTAATAAACAAAAGCGGAGAGCCAGACGTGGTTCCTGTGAAGAGTTTATTGGTGTAGCTGTTTCCACTACAGTCAGAGGAGTCACAATGCACAGCGACAACAGGCCTCCTACACTACATGGGGAGGACAGGACACACACGGCCACAGACACACAGAGACACTTGTCTCTCCACCCCGGGCCCTGCGGAGGGGGCCAGGCTGTGGGGCAGGAACCTGCCACGGGGGGAGGTTTCTTTCTCTGGTGGGATATTTCTGCAGCCTCCTGGGGAAGGCGTCGGGCCCTCCCAGTAATGAAGCACCCACCATCTCTCGCAGGAGTCAGGCTGATAAGTGGGAACCGGGGCAGCAGCCTGTCCCAAATCCAATGGTGAAGTGAGCATCCCAGCCTCCTCCACAAGGCCGCTCCAGCTCTGACCATCAGGGAGAAGCTGGGGTGCCCGTCTCCTCTGGCACTGCCCTCAGAGCCGCCATGGGCAGCAAGGGCACTGTCAGCAGTTTCTGAGGCAGCTCTGAATGGGGGGCTGCCAGCCTGGGGACACCCCAGCGGACAGCCCTGCCAGGCAGAAAGGTGTTCGGAGCTGCCCAGAGGTGACGGGGGCCGAGTGCTGGGCATGCTGAATGCTGCTCCTTCCCACTTGGAGGGCACCCCTGGATGTGAAAGGTCACGCTGGTATGGCAGAATTGGGGCTGGGGAGTCTCAGTGACTTCCTTGTAGGGCTGCAGGGAGCCAGACCCAGTGGATCACTGCACAGGGAAGGGGAGGGGACCCAAAGGACTGTTTTGTGCTCCAGCACCACATCTCTCATACAGTTTCTTAAATATGGTTTGTTCTCAGGGACAGGGACCTGGGGATCCGGAACTGGGATACAGCCCTGTGATGAGTTTTTACCCCTGCAACCATTGTGGAGGTGCAGAACGGCACAGGACTCCTCTTAGTCTCTGCAAGAGGGCAGGCACTCGAGGCTTCAGGATACCTGCTTGTCCCCAGCCTCCCCTCCCTGTGCAGTTTTGCTTTTGGAAGAGGGTTGGGAAAATTGGGACAAAGCAAACAGCCTCCCCTATGCCAAGCAAGAGCTGAAAACAGTCCTGTGGGAGGGTGACTGGACAGATGATGGTCTGGAGGACTGGGCCAGGGGCTGTGGCACAGGCCCAGCGTGAGCACTCCTGGAAGGGGCCAGAGGGAGCAGGAGCAAGGCATCCACCAGCTGAGCAAGGAGGCTGCTGGCCTGGAAGAAGCCCACTGGCCGTCCACAGGCAGCATACAGCCCGTCCCTGTGACTGCTTGGTGGCACATGGTGCTGAGACACCCAAGCTTCATGGTAGCGGAGGGGGACACAGTGGCACCAGCTGGCATGGCTCCCCTTCACCACCTGGAGACCAGGCACAGGCTTCCTCCAGCAGGGAGAGGGCAGACCCCTGACCCACGGACACTCAGGACCCACGCAGCTTCAGGATGTGAGAGGCATCTCTCAGCCCACCAGGTCCAAGAGGAGAGAGACTCACAGCCTCTGCTGAGCGAGCGATGGGGCAGCAGGAGCCGGGGCTGCCTCCTGCGGGGCTATGGAACAGCCATTCGTTGGTCCAGGCAAGAGATTGCGTGACTCACGTCAAGTCTCCAGTTAGTCCTTGGGAGGGATGAGCAGGTGCAAGCGGCCTGTCCCATGAGCGGGGAGGGCAGCTCCCAGCTCACACAGGCATGTGTAGCTCGTTGTACTCGTCCCGGCCATCCTCATCAAAGTTCGGCTCCGCATCCTCCGAGTCCAACTGGGGAGAGGCAGAGACCAGGCTCTGAAGGCCACAGCCACCCCCAGCATGGGGTCAAGCCTGGCATAGAGGGATCAGCGCACAGCAAGCCAGGCAGCTGGGCTGCACTTGGAAGCAAAGCTCTTGCTCATTCCCCTGCCAATGGGCTCCTTTTTTTGCCCCTCATGCCCATCCATGTGTCACCAGACTGATGCCCTTTCCTGTAAGTGTTCTTGTTTGACAGTCCCCATCACTGGGGCTTTGGTTGAGCACAGCAGTTCCTCCCTCCCCCCCTGCTGGCAGCACCCTCTTCTGGGTGCTGCTCCAGGTTGCTTTCCAACAGGAGCTCAGGATGTCGGCAGCAGCAGAGGAGCTGCCAGCAGTCGAGGAACTGCCAGCACCCTAGCACTGTGGTTAAATGCTCCTATGCCAAGCAGCCACAGGTTCTGTTGTGCTGCTGTGCTGCCCTTGCTGCTGTCTCAGTGGGGAAATGGGGTGTCTCTTGATGAATGAGCCACAAATGGGGAGGAGGATGGAAAAGAAAACCCTTATTCCAGGCCTCTGCATCGTAGAATCCTCTGTCTCCTTGCCCTAGGGTGCCCATCCATCCCACACTGCACTCCCAGGGCTACAAGCTTTGAGGAAGCCATCCACCCACCTACTGCTGTTGAACAAAGATCCCCAGACAACAGCAGGGAAAGCCAAGGCTTTGCCAGCCCAGGATCTCCCAGCCTTTCAGTCTGCCAAATTTCCTCAACCTCACCCCAGTGTTGCAAGCTAGACTGTGAGGACAGTTATCTGCTTACCGCTTTGAGCTCCCTGTCATGGAAGAAGCGGGGCAGCACGAAGCGTCGCAATGGCACTGTCATGATCAGGACAAAGGGGAAGGCCAGGGATGCCACCGTAGATTTCACCACCCAGAGCAGCACAATGCAGGCCAGTTGAATGCAGGTGAAGAGATTCATTCTCCAGGTCTTCACCTAGGGAGGTAAATCCAGTCTAAGAACACATTATCCTTCCACACAGATTAACGAAGACCCAACTGGCAAAACATAATCCTTCTGCATAGCATAGTACAGTAACACAACACTGCTGCATGCTCTACCTGCCTGTACTCTACAGCAATGCAGAACTCCGTAACACATCAGCCTCTGTGCAACCTAGCAGCATACCCACCTGGCAGTGCAGTCTCCCTACACCCACTCAAGCAATGCATGACTCCTATCAACTATAGTCCATCCATACTATATCCTGGCATTTCACTCCTGTATGCAGCCTATCAGCATGCTATCCTAGCGTTGTATCATCTCTGTGCATGGCTTGCACTTACTTCTCGGCACAAACTTGCAGCCAAGGGCAGGTCACCAAGCCAAGCATCATCCTAGCAAAGCACCATCTCCCCTCACCTGCCTCTTCTTCCTCTGCTCCTCATTACCTGGTTCCCCACAACCTGCCTTCCTCACCTTGACAACATAGATGTGGTCAGGGTGGTGCTTGGATGGCATGAAGATCAGGAGCAGCCGCTCGTAGAGCTGGATGCCAGTAAGCGACGTAACCCCCATGTAGAGGAAGATGCCGAAGAGCACAGCCAGCGGGATCTGCCGCAGCATGTTCCCCATCACAATAGACAGACCTGCACAGACAGAGCTCAGGGCATGGTGTATCCCACGCCAGCCCCTCTGCAAGGCACCTCGGCCTCTGTCCCTCTCCCCCCTCCTCTCTGTCTGTCCTGGGGTGCAAGGGAAAGGAAGCTCAAGAGGGGTCTAGCTGGAAGGTTTGCAAAGGTGGACTGACCATGGGGGGGTACTGAAGGCTGCCAGAGGAGAGCTGAGTGCAGGTGGGGGCAGTCCTGCAGCTAGCAGGCAGAGTGCAGGCTGGGCCGTGGGGCAGGGACACTGCCAGGAGATTCAAGTGGTCAGCCCTGTCCTCCCCCCTCACTCCTTCACCCGAGCAGAGGCTCACCAACGAGGGCAGCAATAAGCACTCCGGTCACACGCTGCTCCTTCACCTCCTCAATCTTGGGCTTCTCTCCTGGTGCGATGGCCTTGCTCATGACCGTCAGGGCATTGACGTGGGTGACGGAGCGCACTGTCGCCGCGGTCAGCCAGGGCAGCCCGAAGAGCGCACAAAGCCCCCCCATAGTGCCAATGAGCAGCAGGTCCAGGTGGAAGCCAGAGCCTTTCAGCAGCTTCCTCTCCTTCTTGCTCACAATCAGCCTGGAAGGAAAAAAGATTCCAGGTCAGTGCCCAGGGACAGCACTGTGGCTGGGGACAACGTTCACTCCCTGGAGAGAGCAGACATGGGGACAAGGAGATGGCTGAGGAGAGGGGCAGTGGCTGTCAACCTCAGGTTAGAGGTTTCCTCTTGTGCTGGGCTGAGGCAGGTCTCCACCACACTGTATGCCAGGAGGGGAGCCAAGAGACGATGGGAGAACCCAAGAAGGTACAGTCTGAAATGACCAGGATCCTGCCCTTGCTGTCCTGCTGGGATGCCAGGCGCATCTCCACATGAATGGCACCAGCACCCGTCCCAGCCTTGCCTGCCCAGGGGTTAGTGGTGGTTGGAGTTGGCAGGGGAGGTACTCACGTAGTGATCTGTGTCTCCATGAATATAAGAATGAAGACCAGGAGGGCAGGGATGGCAGAGGCAAACATCATCCACATCGGAAAGGTCCCACTGCTGCCCATGGGGTGAATGAACCAGCCACGCTTGTGAGGAGATGTGACCGACAGGCCAGAGGGGACATTCAGCTTCTGGTGGTGTAGCCACAAAATCCAGCAGTTACTCATCAATACGCACGTGCCCACAGCCTCACACAGGACTAGCCTTGCTTGATCCTCCTGGTCTCCCTGGTCTGAACGCCTCAGATGATGGGACAGCCACCCTGACCCGAGCAGGACTTTCTCATGGATAATCCCCTTCAGTGCAAAAAATCCCATGTCCCCTAACATGGGCCTGTCTCATTTCCTTTCAGCTATTGGAATTCCCTTGTTTTTTGTCCAAGAGACCAAAGAAATACCTTCTTTCAGGAATCTCACCCCCATGTCAGTGCTTGCAGACCATGGTTAAAATGCTCCTTGACCTCTGCTTGGACAAATCAAGTGTCCTGAACTGCCTACCCTTCTCTGAGGTGGCTTTCCAGACTTTCCAAGCCTTTTCTGAGACATTTTTCAGTATTGTTTTTGCAGTGTGGACCCCAAAAGTGGTCACATTCTCTCAAAATGACCTCACCCTGATCATGTTCAGAGGGAATACATGTTTGTGCTCCCATCAGAGACCACACAGACTCCTAGCTGTACATTGCCTTGACCCTGTGTTCACCAGCATTTGAACTTTCAGCTCTGCGCTGCTCTACAGCAGTTCTTGCTATCTGCCTGTGTGAGCACTGCAGGAAGAATTTATGATTTGCATTTATGTTAATCAGCGTAAGTATGAATAATATTCCTGGAATGCTTGTACTTGAGCTAAGCTGTGTAACTAACTACCATTTTCTCGGAAAGCTTTGTACATATGCTGACTTAATACTGAAACGATAATGCTTTTGATATTAATTGTAGAAGGGTATGAAAAGAATGTAACAAAGAGCATGATTTTACTAATGTCTGATAAAACCAGATTTTTCATTGAAATTTAAATGAATAAAAATGCATTTGGATTCTGTTAAGCATTGGGCTGTCTTGACAAAAAGTTTGCTGAACAGAAACTACCTTTCACCCTCTCCCTGATGTTAGTTGGAAAAAATACCATAACAAAATGATATAACTACACATCTACTAAAAAGGGAGGAAAAAAAAAGGAAACCTGTGAGATGGGTTTGTTTGATAACATTTAAGTTTGTGCATAAACTGGGAAAGAGATCATTGTGTTTGAGATAGAGATCAAAATATTTAGTAGCCTATGATCAAGGAGAGTATAAATATGTTAAGTACTAAACCATGACAACTACCCCACTGAAACCACTCTATGCCACCCTCTTCAGTGTGCATAACCAGTTTATATCTTGTTGATTGACCGCAAGTTTTTAGAGTTACAAACAAGGAATTAACTGCACTGAATCTCTCTGAATCTATAAAAATATTTTAATTTTATTTTAATATATTTTTATATTTTTTATTTTATTTTTTTATTTTATTATTATTTATTTAGATTCTAAATAAAACACTAAAGCCTCCCCTACTAACAGCTGGAATACCAGAGGGATACCAGGGCACTCAAGTCTCTGTAGCTCTGGTTTCAGTCTCAGCAAGACCCTTGGAGCTTCCCTTCAGCGTGGGAGTAAGGATGAGGGGAGCGTCTCTGTTTGCTTTGTGCTGTTATGACTAAAGAGGCAGGAAATACAAATCCCCCATTGCACAAGAGCAGGCCACGGTGCCACAGAGACCGCTGCTGGGCTGCAGGAGGGGCTCTGAGGGCAGCGCTGGCACCTACCTGTGTGTATGTGTCAGTGATGGTGTAATCCACCAGCACCATGACCAGGATGGAGATAGGGATCCCGAAGTCTCCAATGATCCGCCGAGCCTGCAGAAAAAACACACTCGCTGGCAAAGGGAATGGGCCAGCTCTGTGCACCCACCCTACTACACGGAGCCTGCGGCAAAGCAAAGCCCCAGATGGGGCCAAGCACCACGGCAAACCTGAGCACTGCTGATGAGCAGGGCAAGGGAACCCAGCCTTGACCCATGGGGCTGTGCATCCCACTGTCCAAATAACACACAGTCCTCCAGCCACTCTTAAGTGACTGGCTAATTGCTCCTACTGGCCTATTTGGATGGTGCTCCAGCTATTACACAGATGCCCTGCATGTAGAGAGCTGTCCAAAGGCAACAAGTTGTAAGCTTTTCCTCCTACATTCTAGCTTAACAGGCTTGTATCCAGCCAAAGGAGCTTTCTCAAGGTCCAGAGAGTCCTCTGGACTCAGACAGTCCTCTGGTCCAGAGGGTCCTCTCTTTCCAGCAAAGCTCATGGGAGCAGGACAGTGCAGATACCATCATCAACAGCCAGCTCTGGTCTGCCGCCTAGGCCAGGCTACCATCCCTTCTGCATGGTATTTAAGGGATTGCTGGTGTTTCTTTGGGGGATGGTCCAAATACTCTGGAGAACAAAGGTCTGAAGCAAGAAGCATTATTTGTTTGGCACAGCCCTTGTTCTTAACATCTGGGTCCCACAAACTTCTCACCTTTCCTCCTAAGAAACGGCTGTTCTTGAACTTGCGCATAAAGAAGGCAATGAAGAAGGTGCCTAGCATGAGGATGAGGGAGAGGAGAGCAGTGTTGGGCTGCATCCTGATTCCCAGCGACATTGCATCCGCGGGGAGCATGCTGGCATTCAGGCCGCTCTGCACATCTGGTGGGTAGAACTTCAGCAGAGGATGTTCTGCAAACACCTGGGCAGGTGAGAGAAGCAGCGGGCACTGTCACCGCAAGGAGGGGCAGGGGGCACTGTCACTACTGGGGGCAGGGGGAAGCGGAGGTGTCCTGCTCTGTGGAGAGGTGAGGGCGGTAGATGGTGGGCGCGGACAACCCCAGCATCCATCACCTCGCCTCGCAACCTACCCAGCTGGAGAGGGCTGGGGAGAGAAAAGTGGCCCCTCTTTAATGCCTCCTGCAGGAAGAGAAGGGGAGACAGATGTTAGGGCTCATCCTGCCAGCCTCTGTGGTGGCACAGGGGCCGGCTGGGCTGGGGCATGGGAGGCCAGCAAAGAACTGCTCTGCAGAACACCTAGGAAAGCTGTGGCTGAGCTGGCCCTGCTCCCCTGCCTCCTGTACGCTAAAGTAGCAGGTTCCTGGGGGATCGAGAGATGCAGCAGCCCATCTCCCTGGGGAAGGTTCACCTTGTACAGTTTGTAGAAGGTCTCGTAGATAAAGATGAGAGAGATGAGGAAAGCAAAGATCTCCTGGGTGAAGGGCGAGATGTAGCGCACCAAGAAGCTTCCCTCAGCTGCCACAATAATGAAGATGAAGACGATGAGCCACAAACCAATCCACACTCTGCCTGTCAGATATTCAATGCCTTGTGTCTGGCAGAACTGAAATGGAAAGGGGCAGGAGTTATTCGTGGCTCCTCAGGCTGCCTGCTGCATCTGCTCCCCATTAAGATCAAAGACTCTCCTGGAAAAAAGCATCTACATCTGCTCGGGCATCCAGCACAGAGATAGTGAATTCAGGACTGGAGTCACAGGTAAAGTTGCAGAGTTTGCATTAACACCAGCCAGCTCACACCAAGCAGGTGTTCACCGCTCCAGTCTTTGTAACAGTATCTCCTTCACTCTCTGCTGAAACCATCCCCTGCCTGATGCTCCCCATCCCACCCATATGGAGGTGCCGTTACTCAAACACAGCTCTCCACTGCTCCATGCACTGAACAGCACAAGCCTGTTCCCCACGAAGGAGAGCCTGAGCAGCCTTCTATGTCCCACTTCATAAAGGCTACGTTAGCTGGGGCATGATCCCAGACGGCACCCTGCATACACACACAGTTGTATGGCGTGATGAAAAGCCCCCAGGCTGTCACCACAGACAAGACCATCTCCACTGCCTCTGCTCATCCACACACAGCAACACCAGCCGCTTCCCACACAAATCACATCCCTCCCTTTGCAGCCTTCCTCGGCACCACTACAGACAGTGCCCTCACACAGTACCACACACCCAGAGGTACACCTTTGTACACAATGACTGGGCAAAGCAAAAGCAGTCAGTGAGAAGTGCGGTCACAGGAGAGCAGAGAAATTCCCACTGTGCAGTGGCATCACCAGCTCCAAACTCTTGACACACCAAGGTGAAAATCTAGCTGTAGGAAAAACCATGCTTTAAAAGCCCAGACATGCTAGGAGTCAGAAAAAAGGAGAAGGATTAGACCCACTGCTTGGGAGTACAGTGACGTGGATGCTTTTAACAGCGAAGAGGTCATGCTACTCGAGAAAGAGACATGTCCATCCTGGCTGGCCAGGGTATCTCTGCACATACCCTTGGGCTCATCCTGAGAGGTGGGAGTAATGTACGTGAGACATCCCAAATGGATGGTACACTGAACATTGTTGGGTTCCCATACAAGGAAACCTAGCCACAGGTAAAAGTTGTGAAATGGTCTTCAAAGGAAGCCCCAAGAACAAGAAAGTATTATGGACCAGCATTTTAGGATGCAGCTACAAATGCTCATTGTGCCAGGATGGGCTGCAGCACAGGGCTGGGGGCTCCCCTCACAGTCAGCAGGTAGAGGAGTGCTGTTACCACTGTCACACCTCAAGGGGGTCAGCCCATGGGATACAGCAACAGGAGGCAGCAGTCCCTATGGCGTGACCTGCAAAGGGTCAGCAGAGCCAGGGCCAGCCCCAGCCGAGCTGAGGGCAGCCTGGCAAGACCCAAGGAGTCTACACTACCAAAGATCCTTTGGAGAGCTGAGAAATGCCAGCTGCCCTCTCCAGCGCAAGGGCAGAGCGAGCAGGTGCCAAACATGGACACTGCCTCACATGTACCTTGTAAAAAGCTTCTTCAAACACCAGCAGAGGCCCTGAGAAGCCAATGACCAGGAGCGGCTGGGCTCCGAGCAGGGAGAAGAGGATCCCTAAAACCGAGGTGGAGATTATCAGCTCGGAGACCCCCATGAGACCCTCAGTTTTCTCTCCTGGGAAAGAGAATAATGGTGAGTGTTATAGCCCAGACACAGGCACTGTCATCGCAGGCAGGCAGGCTGCAGACACAGCTCCAGATGGAGGAGGCAGGTCCCCGTCCCATCAGTCAGAGGTTCCCTGCGTTGGGCAGGGAGCACAGAGGGAGCCCAGGGAGCCGAGGCTGGAGAGGCCAAGCGGCAGGGAGGGGACAAGGCAGCAGCCGAGGTGCAGCACTGCTGCTCTCCCCGAGCGAGCAGCACCGAAGCCCACCCCAGCACAGCATCACACAGACACAGCCAGTGTCCCAGCGTGCAAAGAGCAGACCAGAAAGCAGGCCCATTACCTAGGAGTCCCCCGAAGGTGATGGCAGGAGAGAGAGCAGCAAAGTAGATGAAGAGAACGGCCGCGAGACACTGGCTGTGCAAGGCGTCTCTGATGTCACTGAGGTATTTGGGGTACCTGCGCTTTATGTCCCGAACCAGACCTCCAAAAAATATCCCGGTCCGCTTCAAAGGGTCGTCCTCAGCTTCCTCCTCTTCTTCCTCAGCTTTCACTTCACACAGCTCTGGAGGTACATGGAGGACAGGGCTTGAGCAGGGGAATGCAAGTGCGCCCTTGGGCTGTCCCTCTCCCCCATACCCCGAGAAGACCTTCCTCCAGCAGCACTAACCCGGTGGGCCCCCTGTGACTGCACATCCCACTGCCTCCAGCTGCCGGAGCTGCCCACAGCCACTGTCCTGCCTCCCCTTGCCACCCTCCCCGCTGCCCATGGTGGGAGCCAGGCCCCGCTCACCCCTCTGCCAGGCTCTGTGAGGGAAGGGCTCACTGGGGCACCCAGGGCACTAAGCACAAACTCTTTTGCCCAAATGTGAGTGGAGAGACCTTTGGCTTCCTGGACAGCCCCCTCCTTCATGGACTTCTGCTCCCTCTCCTTCCTCTTCCTCAGCAGCAACTTCTGGAAGGTGGCAATGGATTTGAGCAAGTCTTTCCCCTCCACCTCCGACGGGGGGATGACAATGCTGCAGTCCAAAAACTCATTGATTGCGTTGAGGAGGTCTTGACGGTCATCTGCCATGTATGCAGCCTCATGGAAGTGCTGGGAGGGTCAGGGAAAATGAAAGAGGGAGAAGGCTCAGACCAAGACTGCACCCAGCTACCTACAGCCTGGAAACACAACGCTTGCTGCGACCACACAGTAACATCCTGCTCCCTTAACCCACTACTTGTCTCGCTACTGCCACTCCATGACCCACACTCCCGAATCCCTCCTCCCTGTCCTTCTACCCAATGCCCCTCACGTAATCCCATGTCTCTCCTCCCTTCCCTATCCATCCTTTCCAGTGACCTCCTTGCTCCTGCTTTTCTCCCCCAAGCCCCACTGCTCTTGCCCAAGATCATGCAGCATCTCTGCCAGCTGCATGCTCTGCCAGACCACAGGGTGCCTCTCATGGGACCTCTCCATAAATCAAAATCAGATCTGTGCTTCCTGGCTAGCCTGGTGCCTCTCATTCCCTAGGCTAGATGCTACACCTGGCCAGCCCATGCCTCTGTTCACACCAGATCGCTGTGGCTGCATCAGGCCAAGATCCTTCTCCTTACAAGCTCTGCATGACATTGTTTGGTCCTGCGGGGCTCTCATTCAGAGCCCAGCTCAGGGATGTACCAGAAGCCAGGCACCACAGAGATGAAAGACTTTCCTGGACCCTGCAGCTCAAAATTAGGACTCTGCAATAGACCGATGTCCTTCTAGTCTGGTCTTGGGTTTGTTTTGAGGGAGAAGCTGGTGGAGCCCTGAAGTGCCATAGATAAAGCACAAGAACCAGGACCTGAGCAGGGAGCATAAGAGACTCTTGGGAGTCTCCACATGGGAGAAGGAGGGAAAATAGGAGTCTACAGCATGAGGGAAGCCATGCAAGGGAAACCAGGCAGAAAAGGGAAGATGGTCCTGACAGCAAGGGCAAGATGACGAGGAAGGACTCCAAGGAGACCATGAGGGTACAGCACAACTGCAGATAGGTAGGGAGGTGCTGGCAAACGGGCAGAAGTGCTGCATTGCCTCTGGAACATGCCTGCAGAGAAAGGGCTGGAGGAAGATGAAGAAGTGAATAGCCTGTAAACCAGGCAGGAGACAGCTAAGGTCCCTGCAGCACACAGACTCCCTGGAGCCACAGCTTCAAACTGTAAATGATACTGTATTCTCTTCATGGCGCCAGCCACTGTGTAACCTTGCTACGGCCAGCCCTGGCTGAGGGACCTGGTTCCCCTCTTCCAGCAACAGAGGAGCAGAGGCTCAATTGAGTGAGATCAGCCCACAAACGCAGCGCTGAACCTGGAATATGGCACCTCACACCTTCTGGCTAAAAACACGGCCTCTGCTGAGCCCTGTGCAACTCCTGGGAAGGGATCTTTCAGCTGGGAGCCATTGTTGCCCACAACCCACCTGCTCCAAGTTGACCTTTTAGTCCTCAATTCAGGGAGAGTTGTACACTGGTGGCAGGACAGGCAGGTTCATTACTCGGCTATAGTTACATGGCACCAGCCAGGAGGACACTGTGAACCTCTGATTCTCCTGTCCTGGATATATGTGGCAGATGCTCAGATTGTCTTTTCTTTGCCTTCAGTTCCTTACCAGGATAATGAACCTCACTTTCCTGTCATCTAACCAGATGGGGGACTTCTAGCAGTGTACATGCTTGGCAGAAAAACCTTCCTGACTCCTCATCTCTCCTCTTGCATGGATGTGCTCCTCTGCGTGGATACTCAGCTAGAAAGCTTCATCCAAACACCTGACAACAGTCCCCAGGCATTGCTGGGTCTTTTTGCTAGTGTGGCCTGGGCTAGGCATCATGGTCACAAACACCGCTCAGCCTCCCCTACTCTGTTTGTGAGACATCAACTGAACACAACTCTTCTAACCTTGGGCAGTCTTTTGCTCCTGCTTTTACATACAGCCCCTTTCTTCACTCAGCCTAGCACTCTCTGTCCCAGCCAAGTGTCTGTCCTATTCTTCCCTATGTACTGGAGCATCCTACCTTGGTCGGGGCAGGCTGCTCTTAAAAATCCCAGGTCCTCACGCCTGCCTGCCCCACCTGGGCCTTTGCACAGCATCTTTCAGCACTCTCATCCCAGGACTGACTTCTAAGGAGCTACTGAAGCTCCCTTGAGCGTGCCAAGCATCACCGCCCATCAGCTCCTCACCTTGTCGGACATGAGGGTGGAGATTGAGCGGCCAATTTCATGGTAGTCCATGTTGGCCTGGCTTGGTCCCAGCAGCACAAAGATGAATCTGACAGGAATCGGGACCTCCAAGACAGATTCCAGGAAGACAGCCTCATTTAGTCGGACAAAGGCCATAGTTGGCTGCTCCAGGAACTGCACACAACCTACGAGGAGGCAATGTTTTGAGCAGAGTTAATCATTGGGGTGAGCTGTACTGGGCTGCCTTTAACAGTGGAAACAAAGATTTTGGGGGTTCCCATGAGCCCTGCAGTCCTGTACTGGTCTCCAGACCACTAAGACAGCATTGAGCTTCATGCCGAGGACTGCTCCAAGTCCCCTGTTCACTGATCATTCCCAAGCAGTGCTACTTTCTTTAGCTTCCCAGTTAGCCCATTCTTCAGAAGGTTGTTTCCCACTAAGCCACTGCCTTATGAAAGGAAGTCTCTTACATGTTACTTTTATCAAACTTCTAATCTCATCAAAGAAAGAAATCAGGTTTGCTGGACATGACCTATTTCCCATAAACTTCACTGCTTGGCAGTAATTACATTCTTATCCTTTAGTTCTTTATTAATTGAATCCCATAATAGCTCTGGCATTATGTTGGCCAGGAAGGATGTCAGGTTAAACAACCTATAGGTACTGGATCACTGTCCTTCCCTTCTTGAGCACCGATGCTATAAGCTTTCTTCTGTTTTTCTTGTATGTTCCCTGTATTCCTAGAATTTTTTTTTTTTTCAGATGAAAATGAGCCAGTTCTCTAAAGACTTATAGGTGGAAACTGCACAGTTTGTTTTACAATGTCCGCATCTCATCAATGCTTGGCAGCCTCCTTGGTTCCTAACAGATTGGGAAGTACTCCTGTGTCCTCCGGCATGCCAGCCGCTTCCTTCCCATACTGAACACAAATGTTTATTGGATACTTGTATTTCTCTGGCATTATTACTGATCCTTCTGCCATCTGCATCCAGCAAAGAGCTGTGTTCTGTGTTAGACTGGCAAATCTGGGCCATCTTTGTCCAAGCGAATCCCAAGACATAGCCTTACCTCAGAAATGGCCAGTGTTTAGTTATCTGAGTATTCAAAGTGCGTTTGTGAAGCTGATTTGGCCTCATCGTGGTGAAGTATCGGCTTGGTTGAGCTGCCAAGCCTCTTTGCCTGAGCTTTTCATCTACTGGATGGGCAATGACATTTACTTTGCTTGTAGCATAGCTACATTTGCCGAGATGTTAATGCCAGCAAAGTGCTGAGGACTACTATTGTGGTCAGAAGGCACCAAGCCCACCAATGCTTGAGCCTGTCTGCTCACAGCCCTCTTGTACAGAGAATTATCTCCTGGCAGCACTATGGCCAATACCCAAGACCTTGCCACCAGCCAGGCCCTGCTTCTATGAAATCAAAGCTCCCTGGCACACATAAGCAGCAACCAACACTGGCCAGGGCAGGGCCCAGCTGCTGGCATGGTGTGAAGAGGCCAGACAGAGGGCAGCGATGGTCAGAGGACACCGTGAGGCTCAAGAGCAGTCAGTGCCTGGCCATCAGAACCTCGGGCACCACTTACCCATTTCTGAGCTGCAAAATGGGATGTTCTGGTGAGCCTGGCAGGACTTTCTCCTCTAAGTTGGGCCCCAGCTCCCAGCAGCAGTGTCTATCAACCTCTTCCGTAATTTAGGAAAAGAACTATCCTGGCACCCCATATGTTTACCACAAACAAAATGTGCAGCGTCACCAAAGAGCGTACAAAGGCTGCCTTCCCTGTTGAACTTTGGGAACGTGTACAAGATGACCAAATACACCTCAGGAGAGAGGGCACAGACTGCTGAGGCCAGACCAGGATCTGCACTAGTCTCTTTGGGCGCTGGGGGACTCTACAAGCTGCCTCTTACCCACAAGGACCACTGTGGCCTCCGCGTCTTCAGGGATCTTCTCCATCAGCTTCAGATATTTACGGTGTCCCTCAGAGTTATGGAGATGAGGGTTTTTCTGCCAGGGAAGAATACAAACAAGGATGAAGTCCCCATGCCTTGGTCTCCCTACACAGCCTTGCCACCGACATATCTGCAGCCGGGCTTGCCTCAGCTGCACGCCTGACACCCTGCAGCAAAGGCCACCCTGCAAGCGCCACAGCTGTTGCTGCCATTGCACACTCAAGGAGATGTTGCATGCAGTGTGAGGCTAAAATTAGGTCCTGAAATCATAATGCAGCGACCTGATTTCCAGTGCTCCAGGTGATCCAGGGGAGCTCAGCCCTTGGAAGTACAAGGCCCCCCATGAAGGGGCCCAGAGGTTGGTGCCAAGGGCTGCCACCAGCCAACAGTTGTCCCCAGGGTGTGGAAAAAGAAGCAGTAACCCCCCATGTCACCCTCACCTCCTTGCAGTCAGTCTCATTGGCCTTGGGGTCGGCCATCTCAATGCGCTCTTCCCCCATGAGGGGCACACAAGTGTCAGTGGTGTGGTTGTGGTGGTGGTTCCCCACGATGGAGTTCATGCTGGAGCTGGAGTGGTTCCTCGGGAAGAAGCCCTCTTTCTCATCATTTGGGTGGCTGAGGGGGAGAGTGGTGGCCATGAGGGGACCCGCCTCCCTTGCCACCTGGGGCTCGCAGATAACCCCCGAGCCCTGGCAGCCCTCGGCCACGTGTCACCCACCTGTGCTTCAGCAGCAGGGCGCGCAGCACGTTGGCTCGGTCTTCTGCTCTGATCTGGTCAGAGATGATCATGGTCTCCACCATGAGGTGAGCAATGCCAGGCAGAGTGGTCTGCTCCAGGTCAAGGAGGACGGCACCTGCCAGAAGGAGGGGAAGTGTGCAACGCTCCCTGTCACACACATGCTCTGGGGACATAGCTGTCCCACCAGGAGCCAGGCTTTGGTTGGGGTACAGACACTCTCAGCTGAGAAATGCCCCAAGTCCAGGTGTCCCATGTCCACTGTGTAAACCCTTGTCCCAAGAGAACCCAGAAGCTCCAAGATGCACTGGTAGCTCTGGTGTCTCCCTCTCATTTTGGTCTCCCACTCTGACCAAACTTGCTTTTTCACACCAAAGATGGGTCCAAGACCTGCTGGCACAGGCACAGATGGGTGTTGCAGTTGCCGTGTGCCTGAAAGCAGCAAGGCAGAGCAAGGAACCAATACAGGCACCCTTGGGCTAATGCAAACCCTGGCAAACAGGCTGCAGGATGGTCTGTCTCCACAGACCCTACGTGGAGCCTGGACATAGACGGTGTTGGTGTGTCTCCAGCGAGGGGCTAAACCACAACAGAAGCTGTCCAGCAAAACCTCTCCCAGAGCAAGACACAAACTCTGCCCTGCAGTTCCTGACTCACCATGGGCAATCGTCTTCCTGAGCTCCAACAGGCTGCGGAAGGACAGTGAAGCCACATGGGGTTTCCCCCACCTTGCTGTGTCCTCCTCCACATCCTCCTCAAATTTGATCCAGCGGGCCGTCTCCCTCCAGTGCATCTCCTGGTTCTTATCCACTACCAGCTCATTCAGCTCCACAAACACCTAGTGCAAATTAGACCAAGGACATAAGACTTCCCCTGATGCATACAGCTTTATCAGCAATATGTGGAAAGCCTCAGGTTTGTTCTCAAGGTACCGCTTGGTCTAAAGTGCTGCCTGAGCAAGCCTGCCTTAGTTAACCAGAGGTTTAGTGAACAGAAGCAGCCAGGACAAATATCACTGGCAGCGTGCCAGGAGCTTCCATCAGCACATGAAGCACCAGAAAGCTCCAGGTCAGATGGCATGGGCAGGAGAGAGAGAATGATGCAGTGCTGCATCCCTTTCTACTAAAGCTGTGACAATTTTGTCCTCTGCCTGCTTCTTGGTTTCCCCCAACATTGCCCACACTTACCAGAGATGGTGACATTACTGTGCTGCCAACTTCCACAACAGCACTCCCATTTCTGTGACTTTAATGCCTTTCCTAAGGTCAACGCTTTGTCATTTCAGAGAAATCTCTGCCTTTATTGAGAAAAGTATATTTTCAACCCTCATGATAATGGATAAGAGCTTGAAATTTCACCCCCAAGGTCATGTAAAGAATTAATTATATTGAAACCACATTTATCACTTTATAGAGTGCCTGTTTCTAGTCCTGATTTATGGCTTCTGAACAAGTGAGGGAGGACAGCACATAGATACCTCATGGGGCTTTCTATCCAACTTCTTCTTCTTCTTCTTTTTCTTGACAGATGGAGTTGATGCTAATTTTTTGCTTGTCCTGGTGATCTGACTCCGAGATGGTTTTTTCATCAGATGCCTCCTCACACCAGGGTTATCTTCAAAACGGTGGCCTGAAGACATGGGAAAGGAAAAAAGACCACCAGTTTGTCTAGTGGAAACACACTATCTGGCAGGGAAACACATCCAAGCCCACTCTTCTCTCATTAGCTTACGCTAGCAAAGCCCTGGCAGCTGGAGCACTTACCACCATCCTCCAGACCTCTGAAGATCCTTCCTGCCTCACCTGCCTACTTTCAGCTCTTCCAGACGTCTGCGAGCTAATTCCTTCAAGGCGGTGGCTTCCTCCCAGGCTGTGCACATGCTGGAGCACCATTGCAAAAGCTTTTATTTCAGGTACCTGAATAAGTGGTGCATGAACCCTCCCCATCCCCCCTCAACGAAAAGCAACCTAAAGCCTTGTCTGTACCTGGATAGCACAGGCAGGCACCTGGCTGGGGCTCATTTCTCCCACTGGAGGAAGGCCTGGTGCTCAGCAAGCATAAAGGGCAGTGAAGGGGAAGAATATTTAGCTGCTGATCTGGGAGGCACATGGAAATATCAATGACAGTTTTATTTAATTATGCGATGAGACTGTAGGATAACAGTGCAGACCGGGGCTGGCATGGAGGCTCGGCAGTTAACTCCAGCTATCGGTGTTTCTAGATGATGTGCAGGGCTGCTGTAATGCGCTCTGAAAGGTCTGCGTTACAGAGTTTGGCTGGCTGAATCAAAGCCTCCTGAAGCCTCCAGAGAGGCTGCTGAAGCTGCAATAAAGACCCACCACCAAGCTACCAGTGCTGTTGGCTAGCCAGCGCCCACCAAAACCTGGCCACAACCGTGCCAGCCCCTTTCACAATGCCAGAGAAACAGCACCTGGACAACAGCCTGCCATGGAGGGCAGCTTCCCTGGATGCTACCTAGAGACAGCAAGTGTATCCTCCTCAGCACAGACAATCCATGGGGATGGGGAAAGCCTCACAGCCCAGCTCTGGGATGGGCAGGCTCCCCCAGGTAGATCACCGAGTCAGGGGTTTTGCTCAGCTTTGGTCCATCAAGGCTTGCTGACCCTGCTTGTAAGGCAAAGCCAAGGTCTTCTCTCTTGGGGGACCGAGGGCAGCTCTCGGTTGGCTGGGATGAACGTTCAGTCTCCATGTACTTTTCTGCACTTAGCTTCAAGACCTGCAGCTCTCAGGGCACGAGGCATAGCAAAAAGCACTGGGTTTGAAGGCCAAGCGGTCTCTTTGATGTTGCAGGAAAATATCCGTGCACCTCTGGCATGGAAAGACACACCCAGCATCCAGCCAGGCATACCATGGCGTTGCTCCTTGAAAATCTGGGTCGCTAAATTAAATATAAAATGAATCAATACTGGGTCTCAGGGCATTTTTCCCCATTGGCTGCGCTGCTGATGCATGTTCCACTGATGGCTGGACTCCTCCCTGCTTCACTTACTGCACTGCAATGTTGATAGGAGCCAATAACTGCCCACCACTACAAATGTTTCTGAGAGCCAGGCACATGTGGGGCTTCCTTGGACTTTTGCATGGATTTCTCAGTTCCTGCGTGCATGGCAGCCACTTCATTGCACTCAGTGTGGGTTCATGCATAAAACAAACAGTCCACCAGGCACAGGATCTTGGTATATGGCAGCTTTGCTCCAATCCCTGCAGCTTCTGATTCTCACTATGTCCCTGGAAGACCAGGGCTGGAGGATGCTCTGCCCAGCAAGACAGAGCGCTCACCCAGAGCATGGCAATCCTCTCCCATGGCAATGGCAACCTGCTACGCAGTGCTCTTCAGCAACAGCCCTAGAAAGCACACACAGGCGTTCAGTCTCAGCCACCAAATGGCTGGAGGACAGATAAAATTAAAGGAGCCAAGTTTCCTGCCAGCATCTTCAGTGACTCCCACACTCACTGACAGGGACAGGAGCCGGAGTGCTGCAGGCTCAGAGCAAGCTGGTGAAGGCACACCTCCAGAGTCCTGCAGAAGACGAAGGAGCAATCCACTTTGCCGCTCTCCCCTGGCAGTGCTTGTGGTCACTGAGATGCCAGATGGGGGAGACAACTCATAGGAGCAGGGTGGACACATGGGCTTAATTTAGGAAGAGGCCACTCGCTTTGGGAGTCCCATGCAGAGCCCAGCTGAGGTGCTCCAGGCTGCTCTACAGAGAGCCTTTCTGTGTCCCATCAGATTGGTGCCTCCCCAAATGAAAGTCAAGCTCAACTGAGCACCTAAGTGCAGGGTCCTTACTCAGGACAGGATCTTGGGCTGAGACCAAAGGGTGATGAGCCCAAGGCATAGCTCTGCCCTCCTTGCTTGAAGCCAAACACCCCAGGGTGAGATGAAGCAGCCAAGGACAGCTCTTGCTGTACCTTCTCTCCAGTGCTCCCCAGGAGCAGAGCATGAGACAGTGACAATGTATGAGGACAGAGAGTGATTCCTATGGTGGCTCCACTACAACAAACTGGGATGTCACCCTCCCACACAGCATATCCTACAGCCTCCTCCAGAAGACCTTCTGTATTGGCTTCCACAGTCAGATTTCTTGGGATGACCAAGTTCCTCTTCCACCAGCTTAAATCTGAAGATGACAAATATGACTTTGCACTGGTTAAAGTCTTCCCCCAGAGTGCCTGTGCTAGGCAGTCCAACTCAGCGGGCAATTGCCTTCACATGTTAGCTCCTGCTTCCCTCCTTTTGTTAACCTCTATCCACAAGCACAAAGTCCAGAAAGAGGCATCAGAGTATTTGTATCAGTACTAGAGAGCAACTTGCTAGGCCGGCATTACAGGGATGGGGCACACTTCCCATGTACCCCAGAGGTTAAGTTACAGCAAGAAAAAAGAGATTGAAACCCCATCTGTTGGAATATTTAAAATTAGACTAAACAAAATGCTAATCAACATACAGCAAGTCACAACCCTATGCTGGCTTCTGGAAAAAGCTACTGCCCTGCCCTGCCCTGCGCAGACCCCAAGTCTCTCCTGGCTGGTGCTGAGTTCAATGTGATAGGGACAGGTGGACCCCAGCTCATCCCTGCTGCCATCCAGGTGTCCCTGCACAGCACTCCCCATGCTCTGAACACTAAAAGCAGTGCAAGGAGACCAGCTCGGGTCCAACAAGGACTCTACTCTGCTCAAAAGCTATTAAATTCCTCCTGGATCTGAGTGGGTCCTGAAGAGGTACTGCCATGGAGTAAATAGGTGGGCAAGTGGCACTGGCTGGACATGAGCTGGCTCTGCACAGAACTGATTCTGCCATCTCTGCCTCCACCGTATCTCTCTGCAGGATTAATCCACAGTGTGGATTCATTGTGCAGAATAATTAAGAGTTGACTGTACAGCACATCCTATTTCAAGCACCTGCAGTATTAGCTGTAGCAATCAATGAATGAGTTAACTGCTAGCAAGTCAAACTTCCCCACTTTATAAGTGATGGATATCACACCTTGCAGAAGCAATCTGCCCCTTCTACCTTCCCAAGAATAGCCATCCTTTCCCGGGTGAACCTGGGGCAATTTCTCACACTTTTAATGTATGGTTTGCTCAGCTCAAGACAGCTGATGGAGCCAGTTTGCTCCAGGATTCTATTTCAAACTTTGCTGTTATTATACTGTCTACCAATTTACAGTAACAAGTAGCAGACCCAGCCAGAAGCAAACCCCCTCTTGCTGGTCCCTACAGAAGCACATAGGCAGACATTTCTTCCCTGAAGGCTTGTAAAGATAGGCCAGCTGAGAAAGAGAACACGATGCTGGGACTGGGAGGCAGAGGAAGTTAAGTGTTTTGCCTGAGATCGCACAGAGGCTATGGCAGCGTCAGCTGAACCAAGGCATCCTGAGTCCCTGTTGCAAGCACTCTGCCTCCCCACTCCTGCATGCAAAGCCAGCAAGCGGGCTAGTTCTGGGACCACATCACCCTCCTGTGTGCACTCCTAAAACCCCTTGAAAAATTAACACACGATCTGGATGAGGGCAACCACCACAGTGCTATAGCTATGAACAGTGTCACTCCCAAGGTAACACACAAAGCCACCTTTTAACTGTGAGTTACCACCATCTGCCAAGGAAGAGCCACCTGCGTGAGGTGGGAGCGAGGCTCCAGTTTCTGCACAATTCCCAGGACGGCTCAGAGATCCAGCTCTCCGCAAGGGATACACAGATACAGAAACAGATGTGCAGAACAGAAAGGTGTTCTTCGCTCTCGGCATTCCTATTCTCTCCTTCCCTGCTTTTCCCACTCTTGCTTCCTTCCTCTCTTCCCACTTTCAGGCATCCCAGCCAGCCTGCCATTAACTACTATCACAGCCACACTCCAGCCTGCAGACACAGGGACTAGGTTATTTTCTCCTCTGGGCATTAGGCTATGGTGCAGAGCCAAGAACCTGATACCCACCTCTGCTGTTGGATCCGCAGCTCGGCTCAAATTCCAGCAAACAGAGCAGCAGCACACTGTCACCTTGTGCCACAGATGGAAGGGGAAATGTCTCTGTCCTTATACACACCTCAGAGCAGCTGCTTTTTCTCTGGCCATGGCACGGGCCACATCCTGATAAGCGCAAACAGCAAGATGCAGCTGCCTCCGGAGCTGCTCGAGCGAGACACATACAGGGAAGCACCTCAGCACTACAACACAGATCTGTACAAAGACCTCAGACGGACACAGACACCAGGAAGCTCCTCCAGTGTCCCCAGGCACACGGTGGGGCACACCATACCTCCTCTAAACCAGGAGACCAACCTGACACAGAGAGGGTGGCAGACAGCAAACACAGGGTGGGGGGATACGCACTTTAGCTGGGGGCTCTGATCTACAGCTGCAACTGTGGGGTCACTGGTCCGGTACTTACAGGTGGGCTCCCCGCCTGGGTAGCCCAGATGGTTTCTGATGGCCTCCCATAAATCATAGTCTTCAAAATTGAAGGCAAATTCATCAAAGTCTTCATAGCTGAGCGAGTTGCGAATACAGGTGCTTATTGCTACCTCCGGGCTGCTGCCCCCTTCCGATTCCTTCGCTGCCTCCGCTGTCTCTCGAAGGGTTGTCATTTTGTCCTTGTGAAGGTCAGGGGTCAGGTGCCATGAGCCACTCGCCTTCAGAGGAGGGGCTGGGGTAGCCAGACTGATGTGTGGAAAGCAAGCTACCCCCCTGGGGGGGCTTCACCGAAACCCTGGGGCCAGCCCCGTTGACTCGCTCCCCTCCTCACGGGGCATGAAGGTGCCGGCTGCAGCAGCCCCTGGGACTGATGAGGTCCTGGGAAGGCTGGCTCCACCCAGGGTTGTTTTCGTGGGGGGCTGCCCCACCAGCTCCTCAGAAGCAGGGTCCTCGCTCTGCCGTGGGGTCTCGTGCCAGATGCCCGGGGACGCAGCGCCCGCGGCCCAGGGACAGCCAGGCTGTGCGTGCAGCACCGCTTCTCTCCCTCGCTCCCCTCTGGTGTCTCCCTCCCTCTCCAGCCTGCAGAGCAACCTATTGAATTCTCCATGTCCTCGGGCCCAGAGCGTGCATTTCCATGACGTCTCTTCTGTCTGCCCTCACGCCGCACACAGGGGCAGTCCCCCTCCGAGGCGCTCTGGAGGGGGCAGCTGCCTCTCCACCAGGAGAGCAGAGAAGAGGGGAGGCTCCTCACCTCAGGTTTTCTGCAATGCCAGAGCTGGCGTGCCGCACAGAGGGCTGATCGCTGGGAAAGTGTGTCAGGAAAGGAGAGAGCTGGGTCTCAGAGCAATGCAGGAAGCCCTGAACCAGAGAGGGCAGTGGGGCGGGTGGAAGAGCAAGCGTACGTGGAGTGGGTGTGAGTAGAGGTGCTGGAAACATGGGGGCCGGCGCTGTGGACATTGCAAAGCTGACAGAGAGGAGCCAGGGCTGGAATAGCAGGGGCTGGGGGACAGGGAGGTGAGGACCAGGTCCTGCAGCAGGCTGAAGACCATGCCTGGAGCTGCTAGGGAAGAGAGCAAAGCAGGGAGAAGCAAGGGACACGCGCACTAGTAAGTAGGTAGTGTCGCAAAGCCTCACTTTTCATGCCATCCAAGTCAGCGGACGCCAGCATCTGGGCTTCAGCCTCATCCGTGGGGACGCGCTGGTACGCCGCGCTCTCCAGCGTGGTCATGCTGCCGATGCACATCCTCTCCTTCAAGTCATAGGTAACCCGCTGTCCGCTCACCACCTGGCCCCAGGGCTTGCGCTTCTCCCACCCACGAGACAGACGTTCCCGAGGTGCGGGGAGGCTGTAGGAACCAAAGAGACTGATGGTAGCAAATGGAGTGAATGAGGATGGGCACTGGCCCCTCAGGGGCTGAGGTCCCTCGGCCCAGCCCTGACCATTAAGTCCCTGAGAAGGAGCAGAGCCAGGAGTCACCTATCCCCAAACCTAAAGGTTGCCCCTTCTGCTCCTCCTCTCCCCCACCACAGAGTGGGATCAGCCTGTGGTCAGTGTTGGGGACCCACCTCTGAGTCAATGGCCTCACGGTCCCCTGACTCGGCCAAGCCTCCTGGGGCTTCCCAGCCTGTAGGTCAGCACGACAGCGCAAGTTAGCTGGGAGGAAGAGTACTCCAGGTGTGCAGCCCAGTGCCCCCAAACCCACACACTGGGGATCCCACAGACCCAGGGAGGTTGCAGGAGTCCCAGGGAGCAACTGTCCCACTGGAGAGCAGCCGTGTTGCTCACAGCCGCTCTCCCTCTGGGCCCCTTGTCCCCTCTGGCTCAGCAGTCAAGTTCAGGTTGGGCAGAGCCGCTGCCCCTGGGGACAAGGTCTGTGCGGCGATCCCGAGCCAGGGAGAGCGGCAGGCAGCTTGGCACCGCTCGCCTACCTGCGGAGGGAGGCAGGGCCCTTGTCCTGCAGCAGGTCGGCGAAGCGTGGCACGGGGGACAGGATGCCACACTCCTCCTCCACGTGGAACTGCGCGGGGGCCAGAGCACTGCTGGACTCCTCCTCATCACTGCCGATGGTGAACTGCAGAGATGACAGTCCTGACAGCAAGAGCCGGGGCAGGCAGCCTTTGCCCCAGTCCCTGGCACGCAGATCCTCCCCATGTCCACATCTCCTAGAATGGGCCACACCAACTTCCCCCACATGCCCCATATCCTGGGACTGGCTATATTGAGCCCCCCCATATCCTATACACCCTAAGAACAGACACATTGATCTTCCCCCGTGGGTCTTACACCCCCAAAATGGTCATGCACACCCTCCCCAGCATTGACCCCAAGCAATGGTTTATCTATCACTGTCCTCTAGTGCCCATCTCTGCTAGGCAGGGACAAAACCACTCTTCCTACAACCTTTTCCCCTGAGCAGCACACTCCCTTGACCATGCACCCTGGCACCCTCCCAGCACTGAACCTCCCTCCACCTCCCCCCAGCCTCCGAGCCCCATCCAGGTAGGGATGCCCTAGCCTTGCCTTTGGTTTGCTTGGGGGCTCCAGCTTAGGGGACGTGTCCTTCCCACGAGCTTCACCCTCAGACTCTGCAGAGATCTCTTTCTCCTGGGCCTCCTCTGCCTCAGATTCTCCTTCTTCCTCTTCTTCTTCTTCCTCTTCTTCCTCCTCTTCTCCCCCCTCCTCGTCCTCTTCCTGGATGGTGGGGGTGACCTCCGAGGGGGGTACCGAGGTTTTCTTCTTTTTCCTCCTCCTTTTTTTCCTCCTACTGGCACGGGGTGGCCTCTTTTGGAACTTGAAGGCAGAAGGGAGGTGAGTGGAAAGGGGATGATGGATGTGGTGCGAGGTTTGGCGGTGGACTGAGAGAGAAAAAGAGAGTCAGGGGCAGGAAGAGGCTGGGAGGAACCTGCCAGGCGCCCCTCCAGGAAACAGCATGGTCTGGAGATCAAGGGCCAGGAAGGGCAAGGAGAGCCACCAGCCCGCAGGGACATAGCAAAGCTCTTTCAGTGATGCGGCAGGCTGTGTCCAGCCTGGGGTGGCTGGGGAGGCAGCCCTCATGCAGTGCCAAACCACCCCAACGCAGCTCCACTGCCCTGAGGAAGGCAGGACTCCTCTCCCAGTGTTGCCAAAAGCCATTTGCATGGCTACGCAGAGCTGTGGTGACCTGCCAGAGGCACCATCCCCTTCCTAAACATGGGGAAACATTCCTCACATTCTCAAACAAGCATGATTTGGGCCCTTTACAAAAGTTCTAGAGACACAGCTTAATGGTGGACTTAGCGTTAGGTTTACGGTTGGACTTGATCATCTTAAAGGTCTTTTCCAACCTAAATGATTCTATGATCTTCTTTCCTGCATACTTTGAGTTAAATAGACGTACCTTATTTATCCCCCAGGCTTTGACAAAAAGTCCTTCCTGCATACCCACAGAAACCACAGACCAAGCCTTTTAGTGCAGATGCAATCTAAGTCCACATCCCAGGTACTGTGAGGGCTTGCGTCTACCAGCCTCTAAAATGCAGGTTCAATTAGGAGGCTGTCTTTTAAAAACCAGGGTAAAAAACAGGGCAGAAGGACTTTTCTTTAAACTAATCTACAAAGAGAAATTCATACAGGCTTGACCCGGGTGTCGTGGGAATTACAGAGTGAGAAGAAATTAATGGCATTTCTGAGCCTTCACTCAAAAAAAATGATAATGCACTAGGCAGGGAACGGGGTAAGTTCAGCATCTCCCTGCGAGAGAGAGGAAAGCCATTTCTGCCAGGTCTATCTGCAGGCACAAAGCCTTCCATAGACAGTCTGCAGGATGCACAGATCCTGGGGCTGCACCCGGAGCAGCTGAAATCACGGGGGCACCAGCCACTTCGCAAGGGGGCTTTGCTCAGCAGCCCTTCCTGAGGAATTGTTTCCAGTCTGTTTTGACTTGGTTCCTTCCCAGCTTTCCTGTGACATGGCAGCAAAATCTGTTTATAGTGAAAACTACCTTCAAAGGACATTTTCAATGGAAGCTGTAACCTTCTCCCTGGGAGAGCCAGGCAGGTTCATTGTTCTGCTGTCATGTTTCCTTTCCTTTGGTTTCTCAAGTCTTTTCTCCCTTGTTTCCCCTCTTGGGAACAGCAGGGATATTTCACACACCCCCCGGTTCAGCAGGAGAGGCTTGTGGCAAGATTAGAGCAGATTGGAAATGGTCAGATATCTGCAAATCGGGAAGAGTTTGGGCACCTTTTCCTCCAAAGTGTTCTTTTCTTTGACTTGACTAGATGTACCCTATTCCACTCACAGGTTTTGGCAGAAAGACCCTCCTGTCCCACTGCTGCACTCCTGTAGGACTGCTCTGCATGCCACAGATAGGTCAGGCATGAATTTCTAATGTAAGAAGAAGCAAGGAAGGCCCCAACCATACACACGTTACTCCTTCTACAGCACAAAGCTGCTGGTGAGGACACAGCCCATCTTTCCCTCCTGGCTCGTTCACATCAACCCAAGACAGAAACATTTACATTTTGGATCAGAAGGAAACTGAAGCCTTGGGCTGCAGGAAAGGGCAGTGATGGTAAGTAACTGATCTGGCACAGAAGAGGGGAGCACTGCTCTTCACCCCTGCACTCAGCCCTCCTCGTGTCAACTGATCACAACTCCACAGAGGTGGCCTGGAGGTGGGAAAAACATATCTCTCCCAAACACAAAAGTCTTCATGCCTCCCTCTTCTTCCTCCCTGTCCTCCTGCAAATCCTGTGTGTCCAGCCCCTGCCCTCCTTCCCTGCTCCCTTCCTTGCACTGCCTGCCTGTATGGAAAGCTATTGCCAAACCAGCATCCTAGATGTTTGATTACACTTCTCAGTGAACTTGATGCAAGAGATATGAAAAAGTAATTTGCATAGGGACCCCAGAAGGAAGAGCCTACATATTAGGAATTTCTGGCTTTGAATAGGGCAGGAAACTTTTCTAAACCCAGAGAGCATTCACATCCATGGGCTGGTATGTTATCTTTCAAAGTCTAATGACCTAACCAGATCTTCCAGCTTTATGAATACAAACTGCATAGAACTTCTGATAACCAGGGTTGATGTAGTCCTAGATAACAGGGATACATAAGGAGGTCAGAGGAAAACAAGCTTGATTCTGACAAAGAAAGAAGGACTCTCCTATCAAGAAGAAAAAAACCCCGAACAGTACAAATCTCTAGTCAAATTTTCAAAGAAGCTTCTGCCATGCATGCTCAAGCAGATTATCCATGTCCTCCAAGCCAACCCGCACACCTGTGCACACAGGCAGAGCTTCTGAGCAGGTAAGTCCTACGGGCACAGGACAGGTATTCAATCCACAGCAAAGCTATTAGCACCTTGCAGCCATGTGCGCGAGTGACTGTGTGCTCAGGTGGAAAGTGTTATTTGCATGGAGCCTCTGTAGAGAAATGACACAAGCAGAAAGTAGCAGCTGGGGCGCACTACAATAATAGACTTTTACCAGCCAACTTTTACAACAGCCATTGGAAATGAGTGGCCAAGCAGAAAACAGTCTGGTGATGTACTTGGAACATAATGTTCCTGAGGTTGTATCCCATCAAAGCAAAACTGGAAAATAAGCAGTATCTGACCATGGAGAACCAGAGAGTGGGAAACTCTCCCAGCCATTGCTACTTGTCTGCCACACAAGCAGGCTGCTGGGTGGGGGCCTCTTCTTCCTGCCCTTCGCTGTTGTTACTACAAGCTAATGCGACCCACCTACTCCAGGCAATAGTTTATGGCCGCTCTTGTGGGCACGCTCTTATTTTACAGCCAAAGTGAGTTTGGGCAGACTGGTTGCCTTCATCATGGAAGGGCAATTAGAGGAATAAATATGCTGATCAGAGGAGTTCAGGTGATATAGCTACAGCATTTTAAATTCACACCCCATTTTTATTTTGCAGTCCTTTGAGCAGATAGGCCTGATAGTTTCGTGGTTGCTATTTAGAAATACACAGGCATGTCTGACTGGAGCCATCTGCTTTCAAACTGGGGAGGACAGCCTGGCTTCTGTCCATATTTGGATGTTTCTTTGCAGCCATATGGAAGAAAAATACTTTCAAAGTGGAAATTTCAACATGGGGGAAGTGGCTGCAGAGGTCCCCGATGCTGGGTGAGGAGGTGAGCGAACACCCTGGGCTGAGCTATGCTGCTGCATGGGCTGGGCAGTAGTGTGGGGACACGGAAAACAGGTAACAGACTGGGAAGAGGCCATGGGCTTTGCTGCTAAACTGGGTGTACGTAGCACTTTGGGAACGCTCTGAAGGGAGGAAGTGAATAGCAGGCTAACACAATCTGCAGGGTCCTGGCACAAGGCTGCAGAGCACATGGGGCTGAGTGAGGGTTGGCGGCGAGGGTGAAAGTGGGTACAACGGTTCAAACCTACATACATTCAAAATCTCTCTCACTGTAGCTGCGTCTTTGCTTCTCCAGATTGCTTGATGCTGACTTGCTTATCAGGTCCCCAAATCTCTCGATTGACAAAGTCTTATCCAAGTCCTCATCGTCCTCGGCACCAGGAGAGGCTTTCTCTGCGCGATCTCTGCCCTGCACAGAAATCGCCAGACAAGAATCAAACACTGCAGACCTCTACAGCCCTCTGGATCTTCCTGCCCTGCAAACGGTGCTGGGCTTGCTGAGGAGCAGCAGGCTCCACACAACAGGGCTAGGCATAGTTTCTCACTTAGAGGCACAAAACCAAGAGCCAGAACAGATCAGCAAGCCTCCAAACCACACTCTGCAGAGATACCTTAGCAGTCCTCTACATCTCCCATGAGTGGCAGGCATCAAGGGACTATGTCAGTGCCTGTCTTTCCTGCTAGAGGAGATACATAGCTTTTGTTTAGCTGGAATTTCTCTCTCCTCACATCTAACTGCTGCCCTCTGGCCCTTCCTTTGCCCAGTCTGCCATCCCTCCCTTTCTTAGACCTCCTCTGTATTTCCCCCTGGGAAACAGCATCCCTGCTCTGGTGACCTGCCCTTGGGTCAGTGACCACCCTGTGCCTTCCCACCTCCCCTCCGCACTCCTAGGGGCCTCCTGTTCCTCTTGGCATGCTTTCTTCAGGCTTTTCTGCCCATTTTCCTCCCGTCTCAGGCTATGGGTGCTTCTCTGCCTTTTGCTGGTGGAGACGCTCCGAGAAGAGCATCACCAGGTGACTCCTGTCCTTTCTGCCTCCCGAGCAGCTGCAGCTGGTAAAATTTTCCGTCAATATAGCCGAAATGCCAGTGCGGAGCTGTTGTGGACTCCCGTGTTTCCATGGAAACAGGAGGAGGCCCAACTGTGACAAATCTGTCTGTGCTGGGCGGAAAGAGGGAGCAAGGCGCCTTTAGCCGAGTTGTGCCTCTCCTCGCATCCCCCGGCTGTTCCCAGCCGTGCCCTGGGAACGGCTTTGTATCTGTGGGTGAGACCGCTTCTCCTCTCACCTTAGCATGGGTGTCCCAAGCCCAGTCTAAATGGGGAGAGTCTAATTGCAAGCTGCCCAGCTCCTCCTGTGCTTGCCTACCCCACCCAACGGCACGTGAAGGCACAGGGACCCCACAGAGCAACCTCTGGCCTTTTCTGGACCACAGCTTGCTGTCTGCACGGAGACTGGATGTGGGCTCGTGGGCAGCCTTGGGGCACCCTTTGCACAGACCTGTCCCTAGTGAACGGAGGCTGTGTCTCCTACTGCAGCAGGCTGCCAGGACGCGGGTCCCGCACTCAGCCCGGCAGGAGCACAGTCCCCGGGGAAGAGACAGCCCCGCTGCTGCTGGATTCCCACCTCACCTGCTGCAGGTCGATGAAGACATCTCCTACGGGAGGGGACTCTCCAGCTGCCATTTTGGTTCAGGACCTAAGGGCCTGGGCAAAATATCAACCCTTCTCTTTCACCGGCAGGCACCCAGCAAACCTGGAGAGTGGCATAACCTGTGGAGAGAGGGCAGGACAAGGGAATGTCGTGGGAGACTGCTGGCCACTGCCCTCAACCCCCCTGGCTCCTAACCCAGAGAGGTCACCTCACCGGCCCTTGGGGAACGTCCCCGGCATCACTAGGACAGGCCTGTCCCCTGGCACACTGCAGCGAGGGGGCGAGGACGGCCCAGCCTGCGCTGCTTTGTGCACCGGCTCCCACCATTCAAGGGCAGGTGGGACCCTGTCCTCCTCCGAAAGACCTGCTGCGTGGAGGGTGCAGGGACCGACCGAGAGAGCAGCTACGCATAGCTCCTGCACGGGCTGTGCGAGAGAAGGAAAGCCTTCCTGCTCAGCCACCTCTCCACCAGCACATCTGTGCAAAGCTGGGGCGCGACTGACCGCCGGGGCAGGATAAAGCTGGAGAGATCGGGTGCTGGGAAGGCATGCCAGGAGCAGGCAGCAGAGTGGTCCGCCGCCACCTAGCTTTAATTGGGCAGATCCCAAAATGGCCAGAAGGAACCTCAGAGAGATCTGTGCAGCTCAGAGAGACGGCACAAGGACAAACAGTTCAGCATTCAAACACCAAACACAAAACAACACATTACAGGGAAAGGGGCCAACCTTCAGACTGCAGAACTGTGCCCTGTCTGCACCGGCACGGCTGAGGGATGCAGAAGACCCTGCGGGCAGCCCGAGGGAGCACTCTGCTCAATACGCGACTGCAAGTGAAGAAGGCAATGAGGTGCCACGGTTGACAAGGAGTGGGATGGAGACTAACACAGAAACAGCTGTAGTCATATCATCTACAGCAACAGCGCAGGCTGATCTCAGCATGGACTGCACCCCAGGAAGAACTGGAGATGGCGCAGAGATTGGCACCGGGAAGATGCTGACCTCCAAATACTCATCTGAACTCATACAGAGGAGAGAAGGTGTAAGCACATGCACATGCACAGTGCTTTGGACACGGATAAGCGAAGTGTTCTCATCTCACAGCACAAGAAAAGGGACATTCGTTAAAACTACAAGGGTAGAATACAAATTAATTCAAAACTGGCAAAATAAAACCTTTTTTTCAGTGATATCATGGAGGAGGAAAAAACTGCAAAGTCAGAGGATAGCTTGGCCATCTCTCCAGGTAACAAGTTGTCATATTTGTGACAAAGAAAATTACAAGAAGTTAAGCCCACCTTTCAGAACAAGCTATTCTCCAGCTATGAAAGCTTTGGAAGGAGTATTATAGGTTCCACCCTGGTGATCTGCTGAGGGGTTTCTTACTATCTCATCTGAAGTACTTAGTATGGGCCACTGCTCAAGACAGGCCACTAAAACAGATGGTCTAAAGGTGACACCAGTACGGCCACTTCATCATCCTTTCTATCTTTGAAGATCTCCAAAAAGCACTACTCCAGTCTCTCCTTACCCTGCCTACCTGAAGGGCTTATTCAAACCAAAAAATTAGCTTATTCAAACCAAAAAAATCCCAAGGCCTTCCATAAGGCAAGTTTTTGAGGAGCTAATCTGACCACTGATGAAGCATGCTTCCTTGGTCCACCCTTCTAATTATCAGGAACAAGGCAAAACTTAATGGAAGAAACTCCTCAAACACACCTCATTGGACTCTTCAGTAATTGAATCCCTCGATGAAACCTGAACAGCTCAAGAGAAATATGCTGCCAAGACAGACATCTAATAAGCAAATGCAAAGTCCAGGCCATAACAAACAGGATAGAAAAGAATGAAAATACCCACTCCACTCTGCAGATTACAGCTTAAGATCTACAACTTGACACCCTGTTTTCCAGGAAAGATAAAGCAAAACAGTTCTAAGAGAGAAAGCAGAAAAAAGGAGAAAGGTCTGGAAATAATCTGTAAGCAGAGACTGAGCTGCTTTTTAGTAGGAGACTTGGTAGAGAACAGGGTAATACACGGCTTTTATTTCCTTTCGCGTTTAACTCAAGAAGAGTTATATCATGAGTATCATTCCATGAAAGCAAACTGCAGTACATTTGAAACTGAAGGCAGGGAATGCTTTATTCCAGCGGGAAGAGTGAGGAGGGGAACCTGGCTCTGCAGTCCTGCAGGGCCACAGCAACATGACTGTTAAAGAAAGGATTGGGTATTTGTAAGGAATATAACATCCACAGATACACACTGCTAGCAAAAATGTGTTGCAAGCACTACTACTTCAGTGAATAAAATGACAACGGGTCTTTGGACAGCAGCTCCTGTAGTGGCAGAATCCCTGAAAACTAGCAAAATGGTAAAGGTAATTTCACAAAAAAAAAAAAAAAGCCAATGCTCAGCTCCACCTCTGTGCCACTAATGTGCCTTGTGGGGCCTCCGAAGGAAACTGCAAAACTATCAGCAATGCTGTGAAACAATGTGCTTTGTTCCAGGTCAAGCTCAGGTTTGTCTGGAGCTGGGCAGAGGCTCGCAAGGGCATTCGTGCTCCGGGCGGCAGGAAACCCACGGCCAGGAGAACTGCTGGATGAAACGAACTCTGCTGGCTCCAGCTCTGCAAGATGTTACACTGAGTCTAAAACTACAGCCTGACTGCCTAAACAAAGTTAAAAGAGAAGGAAAATCCTGCACTTAGTCTTTCTTTACCCACTGAAGCAGCGTATTCTGAAATATGCTGAAAATATGTCACTCTAACGACACTGCTGAACAGCTAAAAGCAAGACAGTTGTACTAGCAGTAAAGTAAGAAAGCCCTTGGGACGTGCTTTGAAATTTCAGAGGGATTGAGAGGTGCCCACAGGGTTTCCATCAACCCCTGCTCATCACCCTGTGAAAGCAGGATGCGATGCTCTGCGAGCTGGCGGGGCTTGGGGGCAGAGCTGCTGGAGGGGTCTGCCGCTTTGGGGCCAAGAAAGTAGCGAGGATGGGAGGTACGTTCTCCGAACCTAACCCTACCAGCTCTCCTGCCTTCTCGAGAAGGGAGAGCTAGTGGCCTGGGAGGGCTGGTGCGCCTTTTCGGTGCGTTAATTGAAGGCTGGCCACTAGAGGCCACTTACCCCTCAGTCTGTGCAACCTCTGGGAGAAAGGCTGGATGGACACCTACTTGGATCTGGCCTGGCTTTTCTAGTACCCACAACAGACGGAGTTCGGACAAAAGTAACAAAAAATTGCCACTAGGCCAGAGGGATTGATTTATAAGGAAAGGTTAGGAGCTAAATTTGTCTAGCGCAATATGGGATGACTAAGATGGGGAGGGGACAAGCCAGCAGTCTGGAAAGATCTCAAGGGTGTAAAACACGATTAAAGATTTTTTTTTTTCAAGCGGCTCTGCACAAAGGGCCTTAGAAATGGGTTAAAATTTAAAAGAGAAACTTAAAATGAGTATCAGGGAGAATTCTGCTAATGAGCATCAGATTGAAGTGCCCAGGCTGCTGGCATCACTGCCTGGGCTGCCATAAGAAGAACACAAGACAAAAGGGGAAAGAAAAGAAAAAAAAGCCCAGTATAGAAAACTGAATGAATGATACCTTCATCCTACTGTACCTTCTGGTTGTCGGGAGTACGTGATTCAGCATTCCCACTAGAAGTAATTTTCAGTAATAGAAGCATCATGCCAGCAGGCCAGATTCAAAGGGAGGCCAGAAAAATCCACAGCCTGCCGACCTGTGCGCACTCACACCTCCCTGCTCCCTCCGCAAGCGCATGAGTAAACAGAACTGGCTCACCCAAATCACCGTACCTTGTACCGACCGCCCAGGCTAAATAAATGCTGAAGGAAAGCGAGCAGGCGTGCTCCTGCGATGCTGGCAGCTATGGCATCTCCCACATGTTGCTAACAGGGCTTCCCCCAACCCCCAAAGGCTGCTTCACAGTGCCAGTGCAGGAGCTTTCCTGCTTTGCTGAGAAAAACGCATCTGGCACGCCTTCGAGGGGCAGAGGCGAGCAGTTCACACTGCCCCTTTGCAATAAAGATGAGCCGGGAGGGCTACAGCAGGCTGCCCCAGCTCCGTGGGCAAGGGGCTGCATGGAGACAGCCATCAGGCCCCGCATCCATCTCCTCAGCTCTTCCCTAATCCCCTGGCCATCGGGCTGAGAATAATTTAGCCGTGGAGTGTCTAGACAAGGAGTGGATGTTAAGATAGGGATAAAGCCAGAGGGGCAAAGCTGGTTTGGGGATAGAGGAGAAGAGACTCTGGCTGATAGACACAGACGGGAAGAGCTCGAAAAGGAGAAGGATTAGAAGCCTGGGAAGATTTTCCCGGGAAGACATACTGATGAGCCTGTCCATGTAGGACAGGAGCAGGAGTGCTGCTGCATACACCGAAGCACTCGAATGCTGCTGCGACAGTCACAGCCTCTGAGTCGAATGAAACAGGAGCGGGCTGCGCGGCCCCTACTCCTGCCCTGCCACGGTGGAGGAAGGGGGACACACACCAGAATGAAAAGGCAACACACAAGACAGTAAACACACAAAGTTTTCAGGCATGAAGGGCTTAACCTGTGGATCTCTGCCACATGGCTACGCTGAAACTAAGAAGACAGAAGTATTTGGTAAGGCTTAAATATGTCAATGAATCCGACACCCTGTTGAACTAGCCTGGATAAACCACCGTAGTCATTCACTTCTGAAGCACCTGCTCCGTTCCCCGACTCTCCCTTCCCAGGCCCCCCACGGAGGTACCGGATGGGACGGAGCTCCCACGGCCGACAGACACGGACACATACACGGACACACGGGAACAAAACCCACTCCAGGACGAAGTACCAGCACCAGACAGTGACAAGGAGACACCCCTCCACTGGACGTACAGACGGCTCTGACAGACAGACACACGTACAGCCGGGGGAGCGAAGGGACGCAGGCGGGCACAGGGGATGCGCTGCACCACGTTACCGTGCCGCGCCGTGCAACCCCTACGGTGCGGTGCGGTGCGGTACGGTGCGGTGCGGTGCGGTGCGCGGGACCGCACCACGCCGTGCAGCATCCAGCACCGGGCACTGCGCCGTGCCCGGCACCGTGCTGCGTGCCGTGCCGTGCCGTGCCGTGC